ACCCTTAGCCCAACAAAATGTGTTGGAATGCTAGGCTATAGAAGCGTGCGTTTTACATAGTGATGTCACTGTGTTCAGTAAGTAAACAAAGGAGTCCAATGGAGGCGTTTCAGGCAGGGGGGAGTGTGCGGGAGAGAAACTCCCTCTGGAGGAACACAGGGATGTTAGCCTTTGCACACCATTTACATGCACAGAAACTGCAGGAAAGAGAAAACCCCAAAAAGCATAATAGGGGCTCCTTATATTAAATAGCAAAAGCCTATATGTTACATGTATATACTTTAAGAAGTAACGATAGCTCTCAGATACATTTCCTTGAATAAAAAGTACAATATACTTCTGAATTGAAGTGGAGATGTGAAGTGGCATTACATTGAAATACTGTTGGAAATGGTAGACAAGTAAATCACTTGAGTATCTCCTTTTGACCATTCCCTGTGAACTTATAGCGTGATAGTTTTCCCAATTAGTGAATTCCAATTAACAGTTCCCATGTTTTCTCTGCAGTCCTCGAACATATTGCCAGAAACCCTCACAGGACGTATTGTGACCCTAGTTATGAAACATGAGTGTTATTCTATCCACGGTTTATTTATAATGACCGTCGACTCAGTGTTGTGTGTTTATCATTAATCTGCTTGTTCGGGGGCAGAGCTGTTACAACATCTATTGAATCGGACCTCTGCCATCCGTAAACAAACACACACAGCTGCAGTTCGAGTGTGTGCGCGGGGTCAACCTTTAAGTTAATTGCAAAACAATGGGATGTTTGAGCATGTTTACAGCAGCTCCTTCACACACTTTACACTTCAACACACACAATTACAGAGCATGCCGAGAGGGCCCCTCTGAGGGAGAATGTGCATGCTCTGATGGAGTCACAGTGTTTTCACCAATCTGCAGCAATCAACATTACACACTAAGTGGCAGCTCTTAGTTGTATCTCTGTTTAGTTATTTTAGTATTTATTATTATTATTATATACTTCAGCTCATATATTACCTTTTATTTTAGTTGTATATATTTTTTCGAAGTGTGCTATTCAAATGGTTATAATTATGATCTATTTGTTTTATTATTCTTACTTTATTTAATATTATTTTTGTATTAGTAGTCGGTTTACTGCATAAAGGAAAACATTGTCTTCTCACTGGCCATAAAAAGCGTGACCACATCACCCCAATTCTGGCCTCACTGCACTGGCTTCCAATTCGGTTCAGAATTGATTTTAAACTCCTTTTATTTGTTTTTAAAGAACTAAACGGGCTGGCTCCGGCCTATATAGCCAAACTCCTCCATCGCTACACCCCAGCCAGAGCTTTAACGTCGGCTGACCAGCTGCTGCTGGTAGTGCCCAAGACCAGGCTCAAAACCCGAGGGCACCGAGCCTCTGCAGCAGCTGGCCCCGGGCTCTGGAATAGTCTGCCCCTCCATGTGAGGTCGGCCCAGACCCTAGGTGTTTTTAAATCTACTCTTAAAACACACTTCTTCTCTCTGGCCTTCTAGTCAGAGCGGAGCACTACGGAGCCCCCTAGGGGACAAGAAAATATTAGAAGAAAAAAAAGTTTTGCGAGATATAGCAAAACCCCTTTGTGAGGTCTCGCAAAGGTTTTGCGAGACCTCGCAAAACTTTTCATTTAGCTCAATGTACTTCCTGGCCAGTTTGGCTGCTACGGCAACACAGAAACCACAACAATGGAGCGGTTCATCGATTTTACTTTAAGCTTGGCCTTAAATATAAAGATATAACATCAGAGCTTGGCAATAGGCACAGGTTTCACACATAGACTGTATATATAAAGGGTTTCACATAAGTGAAGACACCTCAAGAGAACACTCAGAGCGAGGGGACATGCACGTCCCTCTGAGCTGAGTTATTGACAGATTCGAATTTCGCGGATCAATAACTCATGAACATAACATTGTAAAAATACAAACAACATGACTTTACAATCATAGCAAGGTAGACAACGAGCTACAGAGCCGTTTTTATCAGAACAGTTCGATACGCGCCGTCATCGTGATTGATTGATTGATTGATTGATCCGAGCTAAACATCAAGAATTGGTCACAATCTGCAGCTGGAGGAGGGAGAGGAGTGCTTAGGGACCATCTACAAAGTGCAACAGGGTTTTGCGAGATATCGCAAAAGTATTGCGAGATCTCGCAAAACCTTTTTATTTATTTTTTGTTCAAAAACCTTTTTTTTTCTTCTCCATGTCCCCTAGGCCTAGGGGGCTGCGTACGATGACCTATATTATTAAAAGACAGAAATATATTCAATTATAATGCAGAAACATGCATTATATACTAATTATTTCCTATACAGTTTGCAATATTTTGGTCATACAAAACTTAATGCAAAATCAAATCAAAACTACACAAATCTTGTAGAACAACAAACACAGTTTGTATGACCTACATGTTATCTTCCTTATTCGTAACAACATTAGGGAGTGTATGAAAAGTGTCTTGGAAAGAGAAGGATATATTTTGTAGATCAAGGGAGAGTCTTTAAATTGCAAAATGCAAAACGTACTGAAAAGATGTCCAAAAAGTGATATCGTCTATGTCCATCATAGACCATAGTGGTGCTTTTTAACACATGCAGACGATAACTCTCTTGTTTCTTATTGGGGAGGGTGTGGCACTTTCTTTCTCTGTTTGCATGTTTGAGAGTCAAAGTCCCGCCCCTCACACTCCTTCTGACTGCCCGTGCTTCAGTGTGATTTTGCTCAAAAATTGTTACGATGCAGAATGTTACATGTGTTTTATATTCACAGTATACTGCAAGGTCAATTCTTTTCTGATAATTTTACTCAACAAGGCATACATTGATGTATAGGAGCATCATAGAAGAAGAATGATAAATGTAGGATTAAGAATAGGATTCTTGAACTGAGCTCAATGTGCAGACAGAGATGATGTCATAGCTTGCACTCAATAGTTACTCTTTGGCTAATAATAACCCATGCTAACTTTTAGACGGACCTATTCAACAAGGCCTCCTGCTTAGCAACGTGTTACACCCAGTGTTACAAAGTAACGCGTTACTGTAACGCAACTACTTTTTGCGGTAACTAATAGCGTTACTAGTTACCTATTCCCATTAAGTAACGCCGTTATAGTTACTGTGATTTAAATGGTTGCGTTACTGCGTTACATTATGTGATGGAACTGAACCGAATCTCCCTGTGGATGTAATTTACAGGCGAATACAGCGATGTCCTCTCACAGCACCATGGAAAAGTGAAAGTAACCAGAGAGGAGTGATGATTGGTTAACGCGGGGGAACATTTCAAGGTAAGCCAATCAGAGACAGAGTTGGGCGGGTCTTGCCTTATGGGGAAAATACACACACGAACACCTGCTAATGCTAACACACACGGCAACGCTCACCACCAGCACACACACACACACACACACACACAATGGCAGATGCAAGCAAGTATCAGCGAGAGCAGCAGCGCATTTGCAACTTCGAAATATAACCACTATTTTCAATTTGTGAGGATAAAGGACGCAAAAATATTACGGTAAAATATAAACTGTGTGCAGGATAGAAAGCATTGTCTACATTGAATAACAGCAATGCCAATCTCCTGAAG